ACGGTCCTTCGTTCGTACACTGGACACAAAGTAAATATTATTTTTCGTTTTAATTTTCGTTAACCCAATTTCATCACCGCCTTCTCTCTGTCTCTTGCTCTCTTTGTATCGTCCTTGTTTTGGTTCTCATCTTTTTTCGCAAGCACAACGAAAAACCATAAAACTTTTGCAGCAACAGCACCTGAACTCTGCTTTCGTATGCATAGCATTTTTAATGCGAACACGTTTTGATAACAATAATGAATGTTATGTGAGTGTGAGTGTGAGCCAGAACTGCCGAAAGACGACTCTCGACTGCTGAAAAACATAAACTTTTCAATTTACATTTGAGTGAAATGAAATGAGATGTATTTTTTTTTTTGCTTCGGCCAACACAGACTATGTGCTGAGTGTGACAGAGACGGAGAGACAGAAAGCGACAAAAAAATGACAAATAAGTGGCAGTCATTTAAGCAAAGCCAGTGGTAGTCCACAAGTTTTACGTGACATCAGACAGTTCTTTTTTTTCTGCTTCTCTTTATTGAAGTGACATTTCGTGCGAAAAAAATGTGTGTGTGTGTGTGTTTGCATGTATTTCGGTCGCCAGCGGTGTGATATATGATATTTTGCTTTGATTTTATTAACTCATTCGTCAGGGTTAGGGTGCAGAAATGACATTTTCCATGCTGTTTCTTCAAGGTTTTAGAATTCATCTGACCACATCAAATGTGTGTGTGTGTGTATGTGCTATATTCCAATGAAAAATTCAAATCCTTCTACTGAGTCAGCACCTGTCGATTTTAATATCAAAAGCAAGCAAATTTCCGTGCCACGACCATTCTTTCGGAGTGGATTCTTTGGTCACCGTTCAAATTTTTCCATCTTTTTTTTCGAATTTTCTGACGATATGTACCTGTGGTGAGGCTACCTTTGCCTTTTTTTCCGAATGCGCCCCTTTCAATTGAATTGTAATGAATTTTCTAAACAAGAAACATTCTTTTCCCTTCCCTGTTGTCGAAACCGTGTCATATGCCAACATTTCATAATAAATGTCACTATCAAATTCAAATGAAAAAGAACTGGTTCAAAGCAGGGAAACATTGCAAACGAATGGTTGGCTGCAAAGCTGTTTTTCCTGAATGTAAATTAAAATTCGATTAAACCCAATCCCCACAAACACACACAATGTGCGAAAGCAAACCGATCTGATTGCAAAATAATCATATTTATAACAATTTCATGCCGGTTGTCGGCAAACAAATATGACAACGAATGCCAAATACCGAATCTCGATTGATGCCTTCATTTTAGCGCCGCATTGTGGTGAGATTCTCTTGATTTGCATTTTCGTTCGTCGAGCGGAGTGGAAAAATAGTTGAAATGCTCAAACTGGTGCACAGATTGCAGTGTTTAATTCAAGGCAGTATCAACAGTTTATTCGTACCGAAAATCTATGTTTGATATATATATCAAGAGTTTGAGACGTTTTTCCCTTTCGATTCGATTTCGACATTGCACGTCTGTTGCCGTTCGTCGTGTTTTTCTTCTGCTTTCGTTTTCTTCTTGTGTATGTGGGCATCGAAATGAGAGACGACGAATCAATAGGGTAAACTTTAGATAGCAATAATAATTGAAGTTTGAATAATTGTCACGTAGCTCCAATATTCTATCAACCTCTCTGTGCTTCTCTTACTCGATCGCTTGCCTGCAAGTCGCGCGAAGTGAGAAAGAGACAGATGAAGAAAAGGCGAGTGAGAAGGAGAGAGGCATCTTGAGCAAAACTTTTGTTCAACCATTTACTGTGTTAGTAGAATCGATGTCTCTCGCTCGTTCCCAATGTCTGCATCGAGCATCGTGTGCATGTTTTTCAATAATTTCATTTGTATAATGCATTTATAATAACTTGTATATCTACAATTGGTTTTATCACTATAAATTTCCGACGTTGCAATGCACTTACACTTACCGCGTGCCAATCTGTAAGTGGATTTGAATGCGTTTCTCTATCTCTGCGTCTCACTTACTCTCTCCGTTCTCATTCACTCGAGTTTTTTTCTTTCCTTTCTGTGAAAATCATCTTCGTCTTTCGATTGGATGTGTCTCTCAATACAATGTATTCATGTTCAGCCGCTTCCCAACCGAAAGCATACCATCATCGACGAAGACACGCAAAACAAACCGACAACTCGAACACATCAAAGTGTGGAGTTTGGCTGATGTCGTAGAAGCGCAGGCGAAACCGAGTGCACGCGACGGGCACAGAGACGAGGAGAAAATGGTTCATCGTAGAAAATTCAATTAAAAGTGAATTTATTTCATAATTTTCCGTATTCAAAGCATTTTCATGCAATTTTACTTTTCAAAACTAATTTAAATTTTATTTCGATGCGATATGACGTGGCCGTGGTGTGGAAAGCGCGACCAAGCAAGCGGTATGCAATTCACGGTTTGCATTTTCGTCGTTCGAAAATGTATGAAATAGTAAATCAGTTTCACGATTGCCAGTTGTGCTTTGGATCGTTTTCTCTCTCCTTCACATTTCCGTTCAGTTTTCTTCTTTTCGCTGTCGTTTCATTTCATAAATCACTTTTTCAGCTGCTGCTGCTGCTGCTGCTGCTGCGGCAACGAAGAGGAAGAAAAAAAATCGAACGTTGCCGAAAATTTCGTTCATTCGGATTCGATACATTCTGAAGTGGTACCCGTGTGATGCACTCTCACGCTCACATTCATATTCGTTTCAATTTTCGGCATGCATTTTTCATAAGCGCCTTTGAGCGAATGTATGCGGGGAGCGCGCGCGTATCTCGCATTCATGATGAATGAATTTCCTTGATTGCGTTAGTTCTTCTCCTTCACTGCGCTCCAATTGTCGACTTCTTTCTCCAAAACCAACCTATATGACTTTTTGTCGTTTGCTCGGTTTACCTCTTAAATGCGATTCCTTTTTTTTGGCTCTGTTTCAATCTCGGTTCGAATCTCAAGCAGTTTTGATTTGTCAGAGAGAAAAGTTGACGTTGTTTTGTCGCTGTCAGCATTAAAATGTCGACGCGCGCGTGCTAGACTCTGGTAATCACAGATTTACCAGTTCGCAAAAGCAACCCCCTCCGGGTTAGCACGCACAAACGACGACGTTGTCGTCGTCGTCGTCTTCGTTGTGTTTCATTCCAAACGTCCAAACAAAATTATGTGTTTGTGTTGAAAAGTGCAAAGTTTCTCCAGGTGAATGTAAATTAGCAAAAAGTTTATCATAATGTTTTGTGTTTTCGAAGAGAGAGAGAGAGAGAGAGAGACGACGACGACGACGAAGAGCAGGAGTGCGCTGCTCTCTCCCAAGTGACATTCAGAAAAGTCAGGGCCAATTGTTGCAGCGCACGGCGGGCGTACTCCAACAATAGACATCTAATTAAATTAACGTGGCCAGAAATGTTCAATGTGCCTTTTGGCTTTGAATGTTGTACAAATTTTTAATCGCTTCTTTCTTCTCTCTCTCTCTCTCTCTCTCTCTCTCTCTCTCTCTCAGCTCTCAAATTGAAAAGTAAATTGAATCCCGAGGACATGCTCAAATATTTATATGTACGTTTCGTAGACGATTGCAAAGAATTCCAGAAAAATAAACCAACGAATGAATGAATTTCGAATGAGAAATGTGTGCAGAAAGAGCGAAGCAGCAAAAGAAGAAGCGTGAGATGTAGATGGATATAGAGGGTGAGACAAGAAAACCCGAAAATTTTGAGCAAATCAAATTACGGTTGTGGTCACAGTGTTTTCCATTTGCTCAATGCGGTTAAAGTGCATTGAATTTCCACCTGAAAAGAAAAACCAAGACAGAGAGACACAGTCAAAGTTTTCCGAAGCGCTCCGTTTCAATTTGTCGTCGCAAATCTCTTCGATTAAACGTAATGTCAGAAATTAAGCAACACTACGAAAACAATTAGCTCGAAATCGGATCAAGTTGGTAATTTTGTGCTGTCCAAATGGAATTATTGAAGTGGCAGAAAGAAATGTTCTCGGAATCTTCAGAAGAGAAAAAATTCTACATTTCGTTTTGTTTTTGTTGCTGGCGCGGAAATCCTCTTAATTTAATCGGCTAGTCGTTTGAAAAACGGACTCAATGCACACGGCAATAAAAACCGAAATAATTACAACAAACAAGCAAACGATAAATGTATTCGTGCCGACACAAAATGAATTGGAGCATAAATGCTCCAGCGCTGTGCTCCGGCTCTCGCCCTCCTTCACAACGCAATCATAATTCATATAAAATAATGGGAAAATCCGATCGCACGCTGTGTGCTCAGCGCACAACATTACCAAACAGATAAAAATACAAATAAATCCATTTTGTGGAATCACTTGCGTTCGGCATTGAATGGTGGTTTTCTAAATCCAAGAGAATATTTAATCTCAGCGATTCGTAGCCGAAACGATTCACTGAATAAAAGAAAAAAACATATGCTATGGTTTCCTTCGTTGATCCGCCCGTGCATTACACCAAATACTGTACACGAATAATGAATATATTCAATCGAAGCCGAAAATGAAGAACTCACCGTTGCGATAGCACATACTCGTCTCATCCAGGTAGAGACATAGAGAGTACAAACTGCTGCTGCTATCGACCGATATACCGAAGCGACGAAGGAGCGCCTCGTTCAGCGCGCACAGTATGAAAAAACCATTCATCATTTCGGAATCAATGTGTGTAACGTTTGCCAACCACTCGATTCGTCTCTTTCGCACACAGGCCACAGAGCATGGATCCTGAATGAAAATGATTTCCCCTTCGGTTTACTGAATGCACTGCACCACGTCACACTTCCCCGCCGTCTGCTGAGTTCAATAACACAGGCAAAGTACCATAAACCGATGGCACGGAGTGCGACGCTGAGTTTATCAAACATGCGTTAAGTCGTAAAGGTAAGCCAGTATGCAGTTGGAGAAACGGAGCCGATGCCGCGTCGTCATCTCACATTCAGCTGAGTGTGGCTCGATGATATGCAACAGAACGCGCGACCGAATTCGAGCGAACAATATGTTTCGATAGGCACGTCGTCGTCATCGTCGTCGGTCGCTCACTGTGTGTATCATTCGAACGCCTTTAGCCATCCATCCATCGAGAATGAACTGCATGATTCAGTTTGTTTGGAACTGTTGACGAGACCAGTGTGTTTTTGCCAGTGAGTCGCGCGCCGCGATTTATACACAGAGTGAATTTTGAATGAATTCTTATTTGATGTGATTTGCTTGCCGTGTGGTCGAACTACAGTCAAGTTCTACACGACGACTTTGATGCGTTTCATCGTTTCGATGCGGTGAATAAAACGCATGTTTAGGTGGAAAAATCATCGAATCGCCGCCGCGTACAGCAAATGAACAAAAAAAATAAAACGGAAAAACGGATTTTTCTTTTCAGTGGAACAGAAAAGTTTCTCATTTTCTTCTTGGAGGTTTTTATTTTCTCCATTTGAGTTTTTGAGTGAATAATTGGAAAGTGGTGAAAGGAATTGAAAAAAAGTACATAACAACACAACGGCATAATTCGCTCATTCAAGAAAACTTAAAACAAAAGTGAATGCGGAAAAACAATGAAATTTTCATAAGGACTAAAACAAAAGGCAAAATAAAGTGAGAGAAAAACACAGAGATTTTTGTTTGTGTGTGTGAAGAAGAAGAAGAAGAAGAAAACAAGAACGAAAAATTGTGAATACTAGTGATTTATTTGCAAGAAAAAGGATTGTGAGCAAAAAGTAAACTGCAAAATAAACCGATTGTTTTCTGTAAAGAGCAAAAACAAAACACACTGATTGTTTTTCGCGAAATTGTTGAACAAAATTCCCGGATTACCAATTATTTCCCATTGTGAGTTTGTAACTCTTTATTTTCCGTGATAACGAAGAAAAAAGAGAAAAATTATAAATTTAGTTGTAATAAATCTTGATTTTAATCGCTAGCCAAATATATACAATTTCATTAAAGTCACATTCGGAAAAATTTCGAACGAGTATTGCGATCGTTTGAATGCAAATAAAAGATAAATTGGGTAAATGGAAAACGAAAAATCGATGTAAATATCAACGAATAGTTGAGTAATTGGGCAGCAAAAATCAGCTGCTTCAACACCCAACCAACAGAAAAAGAGGTGTTAAGCAGTTAACATTAAACAAAACAGCGAAAATAACCGCAATTTAAATGAGAGAAAAAAGCAAATGAAACGAACGGAATGCAATCAAGCGGAAAAGTAAACAAACATCTATAACAAGCGTATTTTGTAATCGATCTTTTTCAACCGACAGATTATCGGAGTCGGTTTCTACTGTCTTTTTGGCAAATATTCATTCACATGTAATACGGTGTGCATTTATCACTGAAACAACGCCGGCAGCGTTAATTTCTCACTCTTTGCCAAACACACAAAACGAGCCAAGAGAGATAGAGAGATAGAGAGAGCGAAAACAGCCCAACAAGCACACAAAGGCACACTAAATCCACAATCGATACGCAAAACCGACAACAGATAAATAACGGCGAAAACAATTACCGAGTTAACAGAATCCGAAAAAAAAACAAAAGAAAGAAAAAAAACTCGACACACGAAGTGTAAAAATGCATGGCGAAGTGAATGAATAAACAAATCCAAACGAAGTTGCCCGATAGGCAAGAAGGGAAAATTGTTATGAAGCAATAATAAATAGCCATCCATTCTGGGCATTTTGACTTCTTGATGGTTTGTTGTGTCGTCTCTTCAACTTCCAAACGAAACGGAGAGCAAAAAAAAAAACATATATTTCTTGAGAACTTAACGAATCGACTTCGCGAATTATTGTGCAAACGAAACAACAAAGGCGAGCTGATGAAACGGGAGAACGAATCGAGTGAGAGAAAACGAAAAAAAAGAGTAACAGATATGAATAATGAGAAGTTGTTAGTTCGTGACTGTTGATTATATTGGCCAGATTGCGATGGCACAGTGTAAATATGCGGAATAAGAACAAATACACGAAAAACCCCAAAAACCAAACGATATTTTTAACTGGCATCGAACAACGAAACGAAACGAATGAACAGACATTTGGGAAAAAAATCAAACCTTTCGTCTGCTGGTTAACGCGCTCTCAACAAGCGTTTCCTTTTTTTGCTTACCGTATTTTTTTCTCCTCTCATCTCTCTTTCTCTCCCGATCGTCATTTACTGCGATTTTGCATTCGACTGTTCGAATTTTATTCCATTTCTTCACCATACATGTGTATATGATACCGTGTATTCGTGTGTAATTGAGTGTAAAAAATTTCGTTCATTGCCTGTGCATATGCTGCTGCTGCTGGTTTTGCTTTGACCGAAAAAATCGAAACCAATGCTTAGAGTTCTACCTTTTTTCCGTTTGTGTGTGTGCGTTCATTCATTTGTTGTTGTTTGTTTTGTGTTTGCATCCGTGAGCACAACAATTAAGCAAATCAATAAATCAACAAATTTTTCAATTAACCAATTTCCTAAAGTGAGAGAATGCGCAGCGCACACACGCTTGAACAAGTCGCGAAACGATTCAGTCAATTAATGCCTTTTATGCTATTTTTTTTCCATTTCGAATAACATCTGATCGATTTTATGGTGCATCAAAGCCCGATGATGTAATTTGCTTTTTCAAATCGATTTCTAACACACTTCGTGTTTGTTCTTTTTTTCGGTTCTGTACAAAGTCGTCACTGTCTGTGTGCTTAAGTGAAGCCTTTATTTACGCATCAAATTACAAAACAAACCCAGAGCATGGCCATTAATAGAGATGCCAGTTGGTTGCACTTTAATCTCATTACAACGACGATGGCGAGAAAAAAAAATTGTAGTAGATAGAAGAAAAAAATATCGATTTCAATCGCGCGTCAGGAGAGAGTACAGGACAAAAAACTGTCCATACTTAATTTACCACGCATTTCATGACGACGTCGACGAGCGGTGAGGAGAAAATCCGATTAACGCTCTCTTAAAAGTCTTTCTATTCATTGAGAGATACGTTTTATCGGGTGTTGCGCTTCCTGTATCTAGGAATATTGCGTACACCAAAGTCCCATCACTTTGTGTCAGTCATTTCAAAAGTAACGATCGCATAAAATACGTTCAACATGACCACGAGATTACCATAGGGAAAAAACGAGGACTCAACGAAATGAAATATTTACCGAAGCAAACGATAGCAGCACGGGCGAGAATGTTTAATCGCAAAATTTTGCACAAAATTCCACCAGTCAAATGAAAAACGGAGAGAGAAAAAAAAACAAACGTGTGCACGGGCGCGCGTTCCCTCGCTTAATTCATCGAAAAGCACCAACTCGGCACATTATCGAGTTTTTATCATGAGTTTATGCTTTTTCGTGTGTGTGCGAATCGTGTGTTTTTCGCATGCTTTTATTTAATATATGACCAATTGAACATTGTGCGCTTTCGGTTCCACTTGAAAATCCGGCTCGAATGGAAAAAAAACCTCAAGCCGAATAAGAAGAGAGTAAATGTTTTTCCAGTGCTGGACCATTTTCATGTGTTTGCAATGGAATTATACGATCGCACTGTTGCTGCTGCTGCTGCTGTCGTTACCTCCATATGCAATAAATGTGCGAATGACCAAACGAGAGCGCAAATAAATCCTTGGCATTTGTTTTTGCGTGTATGTCTGTGTGTTTTCGGTGTGATGTTGAGATGACCATCGCTGCCACTGACTAGATTATAGCCGACCCAACACACGCTCTGTCCACTCTCTCTCTCTCTCTCTCTCACGCCCGCATTGGTCGTGTGTGCCTCTCTGTTGAGGTGATAATTGCTTTTGAGACCAACTCATGTGTAAAAACTTTTTCGTTCAGGTACATTAAATCCACCTTAACGCATGCAAAACCATGTTGATATTCAACACGCAACAGCGTAGGACGTGCACAATTTCTAATGAGCATTTTAACTAGTAACTCTTCTGTCACAATCTGACTCGGGTCGGCCTCGTTTAAAATTTTACGTTATGAATTTCTGTTGTTGTTGCATTTTGAACTCTTATGATTTCTCGCCGTGTGTGTGTATCGGCCTAAGATAGTCGAATTTCAACAATCTGATATGCAATTTGGAGTTTTCAATTGTGAAGAGTGTATTTGGGTGGGCGGCTAGGTGGTCAAATTCATTTATAACACACTGGCAAGCCATCGAATTGTGCACGCATGAATGCGAACACACTGATTGAAACAGTTTCAATCCAAAACAAAACAACAAAAAACACAAACAGAATTTCCAAATGGAGAATCGGGAGATGGAGAGAGAGAGAGTGGAAAAGAGATTTCGGAATACGTGTGCTGTCCGTACGTCAAGTGATTTAATTTCGAACACGCTGAGGTTTTTCCGCTCTCGGCCAGACGATTTTGTGTTTCTGACAGATCAAATTATCCGATTTGCACATTTTCGAAGTGTGTATTTTCTCTCTCTCTCTCTCGCGCTCGCCAATGGGTTGCATTTCGGTTCTTATCGAAGAAAAATCCGAAAAAGAAACACCATTCGAAAAATATAACAAGGAAAAAAACCAGAAGAATGTTCACAGAAGAGAAAGAGAGGCGAAAGAGGCGTGAAAAGGGTTACGAAGAATACTTTAATTCAATTGCACACAATTAGATTTGGAGCATGTTAAACATAAAGCTAAAGTGATTTATGGCCTAGGCGAAAACGAAGACGAAGCAGAGAAGAAAAAAAACGAGAACATTGTGTAACATTTGTTGCCAATTAAATTGTTTTGGCGAACGAAACTTGCATCGAAATCGATTTGGCATCGAATGAAAAATCCGAAAATTTCCTATAAAAACTGGAACGAAAAATGTGTTCGTATGTGTGTAAAATGGGGTAAAAGGCAAGCGCGCACGGTATTGAATCAGTGTGTATGGGTTTTAGCAAACATTGAAATTCGGTGTGAGGATTTAATTTGATCTTCGATATAACGAAATGCACGAAGAACCGAACACGTCGCTGGATTAGCATCAAATTCGTTTCGATAATGTGTGTTTTTTCGCCATGCATTTCGCACTTATTCACTCCCAGTGAACGCGAGAATGGCGCAAGAGAAGGAAAGAGAGAAAGAAAGAAGACGAAAGAGCAGACGAAATAACAGCAACAGCAAAGTGTTTTCCATTTCATCCGTTTGCTTGTTGATTCTCGGTTGCGCCTTGTGAGCACGCGTTTTGTGCCGACTTGAATTCGAGAAAATCGTGATACTTATTTAAATTGGTTGTATGTTTGGTTGTTTAACGGCTATGCTAAGAGAAAAGCCTGAGAGATTTTTGCACAATGAAAAAAAAAACGGGAATGAGAGAGACAGATACAGAGCGAGAGTGAGTGAATGAGAAATGGATAATGGATGGTATGTGCATGTGAATCGGATGGCAGTCAATAAAGGAACCATCCATCTATTTGGTAAAAAAAAAAAAAAATTGTACGGCGACATCAATTCACAACACCAAAATGTACATTCCTCTAGTCACCGTATGATTTTCTCATGCACTCCCTCTCCTCCCGCTCCATTTGCTGTCGTTCGTTTTGCTTGTTTGCTCTCTAAGTCTGTTGCTCTTACGGCCCTCTGATCCGTACACGGTTTCCTTTTTTTTTTCACCGGGTGAAAAGCGTTTTGCAAATATCACGCCAACTTTCATACTAAAACGAATCATTTGTTTATTTTCAGCGGATTGTCTTTGATTGGGAGGCCAAACAACACGAATCTCTCGGATTTCGTACACATTAATCGAGAATCAACTGAAGAGCGAGATCGGAGGAGAAAAAAAAACACCGATCCGAAAAGTAAAGACAAAGCTGACAAACGATTTCGCAGTGTGTCGTACAGTCGAAGTGAGTGTGAGAAAAAATAACAACAACAACAACAGCAACAACCGCATAGAGTGACGAATATTTTTAGCGAAGCGTGTTTTTGTGAAATAAACAGAGATTGAAACTCAAGTGATACAGATAAAAGACAAAGACGAATCAAAATAAATCGCCCAAAAACGTTACACACGGAAAATACAATTAAAGGCACATGCTATTATTGATTTTTCGTTCCGTTCTGGTAACACGGTTCCTTTTTTTCTCTCTTCGGTGAAGTGACTCTTGATATCGTCGAATGGATAAGAAAAGCCGCGCGTATTTATAATATACATCACAAAGCACAAAGCTTAGTCGATCCATTTCAATTCAGCAAATTAAAGGTGAGTGTTTATCATTGATTCTTTCGTGCTTTTCCATTCGATACACATAGAATACTAATTCATTCGGTCTATTTTCGCCATTTCGTTGGTTTTTTTTTCTTTCGTGTAAGCAAACAAACCGTTTAGACATTTACTTCCGGTACTCGCGACGCGAGCGTTTTATTTGGTTGATATGTGTATGTTTTGGTCTGCTTTGAATTTTCGGCCCATTTATCATTCGACCGGAGCGTCGCCGGTTCAGTTTTCTGTCATTTTGGTTTTTGTGTGCAGGTCTCTTGATGCGTTCGCATGTCTTGCTAATTAATTGAATTACCCGGGAAAAACATTTCTTTCCATCAACATTTGATTGGGCGCGTAGGCGAAACTTAATTAAAATCAGATATACCCTTCACACTTAAATGACGAGCAGATTTTTAGTGAACATCATAGGTACGAACACAAAAGCACTGAGGTACACCAACGAGAAAAAAACTTAATTATCGTTTAAAAAAAGTTGTTTTCAATTTAGACAAACCGAAATGCCGTTACGAAATCATCGAAAATTATTCGAAATGTTCTGGGGTGAGGCTAAATACACGCAATTTAAATGAAATAAACATGAGTTAATATTCGAAGAATTCGATGTTTGCATTAAATTAAAGAAGTGAGAGACGCTTCAAAGTGACCCAACAACTCGGCAAGAAAATCAATTCAGTGTTGCGGCTGTCGCTCTTAATAAATTAATGTGTCTCTGTTCGGCATACAATTAACAATAAATCACTTTTTCGAAGCGAGCGTCGACCGACAAACGAAAGAAGAAGAAAAAAAACATTCCAACCAAAGAGAAATAGTTTTCTTTCTCTGCTGCTGCTATCTATCTCGTCTATGATGAGCTACAGCTGATGCGTAAAATAAATCCATTTCGGACCGGCACTCATACGTTGGCCATCCATAAAATCCCGAACACACCACTAGTTACGAGAAATTATTTCACAAAATTTAATTATCAACATGTCACATGTCATACCGAGAATACCGAAACTTGAAAAAGATTCGATGTCATTCTCCATATATTGCCCGGTCCCGTCACGGAACGAAACGATTTGCAAGACCGACACAAACATGAAAAATATTCGAAATAGTTTTCATAGCGACGCGCAGTGGAAGTGTTTTTAATTGACTTTTTCGGTTGAACATTCATTCTTTTGGCACTTTTGCTGTTGCATATATAGATATGGGAGCGTCGGTTGACGATGACGATGGCATAAGGTTGTCATGAAATGCCGTTACTACTTGATTTTATCGATCGAAAATGGTGAATAAGTTGTCTAGCCGTGTCTCTCGGCATGCCATCATCAGCCTGCAAGTTCAACCGTGTTCGATTGTCCATTTGCTTTATATTCATCCGCTTCCACTCGACTTCCTGTTATGCAATGAAGACCCCTTTAAAAAATTCAGTTACATTTTTGCCCTGAAAGACATGTTAATGTTCTTTTGCCGTTCGATTCGAAATTCGAGCGAATGAGAGAGAAAAAAAATGGTCGGAAAATTAATTATGTACGTAGATTTAATATAGATTTTCCAAAGATGAACGAGAGCATCTCGTTGGAATCCATTGAATCGCAAATGCATACCGAATAACAATGGCAACAACAGTACCGAAAAAAATGAGAAGCGATTCAGTGATGCGACATCGGTCGTTGTTCAAAAGTTCGAAGAGCATCGCATAAATAATTCAGTGGGATTGGAATGAAATGAAAGATAGAAAGAAAAACGAGAGCTGGGCGACACACGTAGACGAACTATTATTATCGAAATGTCAGCAAGTCACCTCTCGTCTGTTGTTCTGCTGCTGCTGCTGCTGCTGCTGCCACGATATAGATCGTGCATGTTTACACAGCGAATAGCATAATGTAGAAATTTTAACAAAACTACTGGCTGTTTTTCAATGTGTCTATTTCCAACTCTTTGCACACGTCCGACACATTCAAATGTCACCCAACAATGTTTCTGATTGGCATTCAAAATGTTTATGTGGTCGCTCAGTTCCTGCTTCCCGATGGCATTTGCTCGCTCGCCCTCTCACTCTTTCACTCTTTTCTGCTCTCTCCCACTCTCCTACTCTCTCTCTCTCTCTCTCTCTCTCTTTCTCTCTCTCTCTCGGTCGGCGACTCGCTTTGTCTCGTCGCTTTTTTTATATTCGAAAGTCTTTGGCCAAATTCAAAGCAAGACCCAAAATAAAGTGTATTGCCATTCGAACCAATTCATATTTCTATTTGTTATGAACGTTTTGTTATTGCATGTAACTAGCTCGCAGCAATAGAAATGCTGCTACCGCTCGATGTTGTGTGCTTGAAACGTGTGCCCATGCATCGACAGATATCATCCTCCATCCTCGATTTTGCTTCTCATAAATTATGTTTTGTGTTTAAAAACAGCAACAACAGACACTTGTTCAAATATTTACATGCGTCTCATCGTGTCGCGCGCACATGTCAACGAAAAACCCAAAAACACCAGCCCAACGTAACAAAACCGAAGCGAACAACAGAGGAAAAAAAAATGTGCACAATAGTGCAGCGACTGATGTGTGGAAATGAGAACGAGTGAGAGTGAGCGAGCGCAAGAGCGAAAGAGAGAACGAGAGAATGGGAACGATTGAAAGACCAATAGAAATAGAACGATCGAAAGGGAGACCGTATGTGCGGAATACGTATCAATTTGAGTAGCAAAGAATTCAATTTCGATCACTATCAAACATATAAACGACAAACAAGAATGAAAAACGAATGCCAGAAATTCATTGAAATATGCAGTGCATTTTGAAACAATTTTCTGTTTGCATTTCTTATGTGCGTCGAAGGATTCTTTTTTTTTTTTTCGTTGTTGCAACGAAGACTTATAATAAAATTGAGCGCATGACATGCGCCGCATGTGTGGATGGACGTAACACCAATCAATAGCAATATTAAAAAATGCATGAGAAAAACTAGAAAACTGTCTATAAAAAAAAGCCTGGCCATTATTCTGCCGTTAGCCGGTGAATTAATCATGAATAAAACGGAAAGAGCGGTGCAAATATAATCATGTTTTCAATTCACCAGTGCGTGCTAACATATGCAAAGCCAGAAATGATCTGAAAATATGACCAGAGAGCGAGCGAGCGAGCGAGCGAGAGAAGGGAGAGTCGATGAAATATGGTCGAATAAATAAATAAATAAATGATTTTGGTTCTTTTGATTCAAATTTAAATGGTCGAAACGAAAAACCAATTAATTTACATAAATTCTCATTGCGACGACACACACATTCATTTCGGCAGCGGTTCATTGTTTCGATGAGTGACAAAATAAAAACAAAAAAACCAAACATGAAATTTATCTATTTCTAATTTCCAATCAAGCGTTAACGCAAAATAAACAATGCATCGATGGTGTATAGCTAAAGGTACATAAATATAAAACCTCAAATCGATTTTCCGTGAATGCATGTATGCACGGAGCGAGGGCACAGCGCACACGACGCCCCACAAAATGCAATGTGCAAAGGTACATGCCATCGGAAATGAGTTTCGGTTTTCACGGGTACGCATTTGCATAGGTTTGCCATAAATCGAAAAATTTATATTTAAAATATTCGGAAAACATCACACATGTCACACACGAATTCAATATTAACGTGGAACGAGTAAGCGGCAATGCCGAACCGGTATCAATGGGAAAAAATATTCGTTGAAAATGTATCAAGTAACGAAATCATTCATTCGATGGAATAATGGAAGTGAATCGATTCTAAAAAGTCGTTTTTTTATTAAGTTGACGGCAACGAAGACGAACAGAAGAAGAAAAAAAAACCAACGTGTTGAAGCTTGAGAACGTTCTTTTCTCACTGCTGTGGCTGCTGCTGCTGCTGCTGCTGCTACTGCTGCAGTATTTTACCGTTGAAAATCGTATTCAGATCGAGTCGTTCTGAGAATAAAGTCAATGTGATGATTGTAATAAATGTAGAAAATATGTAAAATACAATATCGTGAATGCAGTGAATCCATCGAATTATGAAGCTTGTTCGTTCGTTCACTTGCGCACGTCTGGGTACCGAACAAAAAAAAAATAGACAGAAAATAATGAAGTATTAAGTGAAAATTGTCGATTTGACGTTGTTGATAAGCTGCTTATTTGTAAAGCTATGACTGTCGATTCCGAAACCGAAATTATCCACACAAATTCTTATCAATTTCCATTCATCTTTTGTGCAAAGCCCGATTGAAAAGGGATTTTAGTTTGTTTTTTTTCGGTGTGTGTATGGAAAAAAAAGTGTCTTGTCGTCATAAAATCATAGCAAACATAACAATGGTTCAAGCAACAACAACGACACTGTGGAACAGAGAGTGGATAACAGCGTGTTGTTATCTTGATAAGTTCTTGCTATGTTATTTGTTATGTTGCACCAGGGCAATGCACTTCTGCGACTGCGACTGCGACGACGACGGAAAATATGTTGATTCGATGTTTGCATTCCAATTTTTCATGTTTTTTTCCCCTTTTTTCCTCGGATAAATCAATGCGATGGAAAAATCGACGAAAAGTGGCGTGTTCGTCTGTTGGTGCGATATGATCCATGATCTGATAAACAAAAATTAATCATTATTCCACATTGTGTTGGCATCGAATTCAATATTTATTCAGGATGGGGATTTTCATTGCGGAGCCAACACTAAACAAAACAACAACATCAACCAGCGATTTTTATCGATTCGATACACTTTTATTATTTTGTTAGTTTCGTTTTTCACTCTAAAATTGTAGTGATCGATTTAGAGCGGGCGAGAGCGAAAGCGAGTGAATGAGACATGGCGCGGACATTCGAATTTCGATTCGACAGCAAATAAAACTCGCGAGCGGCAAATAGATTAATTGCTTTCATTGAAATCGATGTGTGTGAGTTATACAATTTTTTTTTCTCTCTTTCTCGTTCCTTTCAAACACACGACAAACGGAAATAAACACATACACACCCGCGAT